TTGACGAAGAGGATGTCAGCTGCCTGCACAGCATCCTAGTTTGACTAGCATTAGCTCAGTGATGGAGAAAAACTGAGGGAGAAGAGAAACATCGGAATACTAGTCAGTACCAGTGTGCAAAAGTGTATTTGCTTTGGAAGAATAAATCGCCTCTAATGTTGGGTGTCCTACATGTGTGGATGGTGCTGCATTATACAAAACTATTAGAATAGTTTTTCACATTTTAGAATGCTGTGCTTCAAGACTCCATGTTTTTAAAGGGTGCCTCTGGACTGTCCATAATTTTAAAGGGTGCCTTGACTGAAAAAAGGTTGAGAAACACGGCTTTAAAAAGTCAACAACCTTACTAGGATGTACAGTATCTCCTATGTCTTGCTTTTCTCCTCCTGCCACTTCTCCATTGCCTCTATTACTGCCACAGCCAGGGCTTGCTGTGTATGATTTAGTAGGAGTGACTGTAAAAATGAAGCTTCTTCTGTGTAAAATGACACTTGCAGATAGTCTGCAAGTGTCACTGAGCAAATACAATGTAGCAATTATGACATTCTTTTTAATATTTCATTCTAATGTAGATCAAAGTCGTGTCATTCCTATTTTACCACCCATTAACCCTAATTGGCTCTAATTGCCACCTTCATCTCTATCACAATAGCCTGTATTTCTTAAAGCTCAGATTTGACAACACTTTTATGAATAGTATGGATCTTAGTTTAGTGTGATTTAGCTAATGCTGGGTGCAAAGGCTAAATACCACAATCAAAACTCCTGCATATGCGGGTTAACTTCATGCACCTCTTTTGTATTGAGTAGTTTCTGAGGGCTGTTGCGTATCTGATGACCTGTAATTCTGTATGTAGAGTTTTCTTATCTTTATGCAACTGCTGAAATCCAAATTATGCTAGTAGTATGAGCATTAATGAAGAAAAAGGGATCGGCGTAGATTTTCTGTCTCTGAACTATCTGTGGCTATGTCAGTGAGATACTTGTAATGGATTTTTTTTTCCGTTTTGTGGCCCTGTTGGGAAGATTACCCTTTATTTCTGTCCTGATGATGCAAAAGATGTGGGAGGAGATCTCTCTAAACGGACGGTATTCCCCTCTTAGGCTAGGTTCACATATGTGCGAGTGGTGCGGGACGTGCATAAAAATACCTGCAGCCGCACCACCCGCACAGGGCAATGCTGGACCCGTGGGCGGGTGCCATTAATTCTAATCACATCGCCCACACTGGAAATAGCAACTACCACTATGTGATGCCTGTTTGTGTGTCCTTGCTTCATAAGCCAGTTATAGACTTTGGCAGGTGGCCATTTTTATTTGCATGTTGGAGTTTTGGTACGTGGGTGCACTAAGACCCTGGCTGCCATTGTGCTACATGCTGGGGTCCTGTGCACTCCTTTGCCTTTAAGAGGGGTGGGCTCCCTCAGGTTCACCTGCCCTCGATCTATCCATTAAATGCATGTGCCCTCTACTATGGGGACTCTCAAATTGTAGAGTTAGGACCACAGATTATCAGGGTGCCGTGACGAGGCTCTGTGGCTTACGTATGTATTTGCAAATGTGTGCTAACTAAACCCCTGTTATAAACGCATACTGTTAGACAGGTTAACTTGGTTGTTAGCAAGCTGGCTGGCAAGTTGTCCAAGAACATTGTTCTCTCCCTTTTATCCACTATGTGATGCTTGTTTATGTGCCCTTGCTTCATAAGCCAGTTATAGACATGGGCAGGTGGCCATTTTTATTTGCATACTGGGAACCTTGGTTTCCGTGCAGGCTGCGGTTTCCAAAGAAGTTCAGGGACTTCTTCCCTGCGTGTCCCGGGGCACGGGAGTCAAATAAATGGGCTCTCGTGCCTGCGCAAAACGTGGCTCGCACATCTACAGATATGTCAACCAGGGGTAAGTCCTCATCTGAACAAATGCTCCCATTGGAAGATTTCCCCTAACCACCTTATCTGGTAACAACTTTACTGCTTTGGATAGCTCTACACTTTTTAAATAGCAAAGATGTACCCATTTGGCACAATACCACACTAATCTGGAAAGACTATAAAATTCTATTCCAAACGAAAGGGCAGATTTGTGCCTGATTTAGCCAGATGCCAACAAGTTCACCAAAAGGTGCACTGGAAATTTATATAAAACCAAGTAGAATTTAAACTCGGGGCCCTATCATTGCAACCAACCACTCAAGCACTCTTCTGCCCATGTGAATGACTGTATTGAAGGACAGGGATTGATACAAATGTCCTACTTCTATAAATGCAAGAACATTGGATTGGTGACATTGATGAAAATATGAACTAACTACGTAGGAAAAAAAAGCTACTACGTGCTAATGGAGCTGAAATCTGAATGATGACATCATCTGCAATACAATCTGACATGAGGATGACTTAAAGCAGCGATTCCATAACAGCAACATTCCCTCTTCCAAGTCCAGCTTCTTGGTATTTTGTTTGAGTGTTTCCCTGCAGAGATGCCTTTTGTTATGCGCCTATCAAGCTGTGCATCTTATAAGGAGCTGCAAGCCATAAAATAATAAAAGATGCTCATTTTTTATTCCACAGGTCAAGTCATTTTGCAGTAAGCTTCAATGGGACTTGCTGGCAGGAGGTCTAGTGCTCCCCACAGTCCCCCGCTGTGTGTAGACAGAAGTTGAGAAATCATAAAGTTAGATTTATTATTTGTTCAGCGTTTGATTCCTCACAGACTGCATGAACTGACACTGAAACAACTGAACGCTGCCTTTTAACTGGGGAATAATGATACTATATCACTCACTAGCCTGCCAGGAAGACAGCGAGCTCTGGTGGATGCTTTTTTTTATAGAAGGCCTAGAAGCTACTCACTTGCTTTTCACAGCTTACAAACTTAGGGGTAAGTTGGACAATTTATGGGTTTTATGTTCCTGTACCAGCCAGTATAGTTGTTGTTTTTCTTACTAAAGTAACTCGGATGCTAGTTTTAAAAACCAAATAAAATGCCTGTTTGCAGAGAGAATTAACACTTAACCTGTCCAGCTGCCCATTCCAGTGATCTTCACTCTCTTGCAGAGCTAAGCTTGCTAAAGAATCTAGCGTAGCCTCCCTCAACCACGGTTCTGATGAATCCTAAGGTTCCTCCAGAGGCTGCTAGGGGTTCCCCGAGCAGAGGTCTGGGATGGTGCCTTTATAGTTCTGGCATCAATGCTACTTTGCAGAGCCAGCTCCATGGAACCAATGGAGCTTCTTTTCTCAGGTAACGACTGACACCAATGATTATGGCAGCGGTCTATGAAAAGGAACATTTTTTTTTTTTCTTTCCCCCACTGATCATTTAAACAGTTTTCTGCTAATCACAAGCAAAAGGGGACTGTTTTGATTGACCACCAATTTGATATGGGTAACATACCAAAATACGGTTACCAAATCATTTTTTGTGGAGTCCTCTGAGACATGATCATTATTTCAAGGCAAAATTATTGAGAAAGTATGGTCTAAACCAGTGCTCCCCAGAAGTGTTCCAGTTTACTCTATGGGGGCCAGACTGTGGCCAGGGGGACTAAACCTTGTCTCATCCATTTGAATGGGAGAAATTGTGCCCTATTATGAGTCTGTGGAATATTGCCCCATTGATAGTGTGAGAGGAAGGAATGGTGCCCATCATTGTGTCAGTTGGAGGAATCTTGCCCCATTGTTGGTGGGTGGAATAGTGCCCCATCAATGGTGTTAGTGGGAGGAATGGTGGCCCATTTGGTGTCATCTGGAGGAATAGCATCCCAAGGTCTGGACATAAAAAAAGCAAACGGCCACAGTTTGGAGACCACTGATCTAGAGCATCTGACACTTCATTGCTTATTTGTCAGATGATTGCCCCCCCCCCCCCTCCTACCATTGCATGCTGTGATTTCTCCTACTATCCGCTATATCACTGCATCACTGCTGTTTCTTACAATGAAACGGTCAGCCGAAAGAAACCACAACACAGAGCGGAACCAGGTACCAGATACTCTTGGAAGAGTCAGATGTTCTAGGTACTTCAGGAAACCTAGTTGTTCAGTAGAGAAAAGATTAGTTGTTTGAGCAGTAGGACAGGTAATCTTTAATAATAGTTTAGACTCTCTTGTGCCTTGTGGAGGCTATCACGGCAAAAATTGTCTTTCAGGTACTTGCCTGTGAACTGCAGTGGTGTTCCCCCAGATTTTCAGTAGCTGCTCTGCCGTGTTACCCATTATCTGATTTGGGTTGATGAGGGTCTGCTTGGTTGCCTCTGCCTGAACAGCGAGACCGAGCCTCACACAGTTCTGTTCATTGCAGTGGGATCTACTGCAGGACAGAAGCAGATATTAAGGGGGGGTCAGCTGACTTTTTCTGTAATAAACTGGGGGGTACAGAGTGCACTGATTTGAATTTCTGGTGTGAATTTTATTTCGGATCAATAGACCAAAGGTGTTTATTCCAGCAGATCATCAGGATGAAGTCAAACAAATCTTATTTTTGGTGAAAACAACATACAGGATTCCTTTTCGATCATCATACAGCTTGAAATGTTTTTTTGGCAGTAGAAAGAAACCTATGGAAAGGCGCAGCATAAAGTCACCTTACGGATGGGGTCTCAGGCGGTAATTGAACAAGGGATGGGGGGGGACACAGCAATATTTCATGGCTTTCTCCTAAATTGGCCCGTGTGTGTGGTGTGTGTGTGTGGTGGGGGTGTGGGGGGGGGTCGAGGACATTTAAGGTGTTACTAAACCCAGACCCCTGCATTCACGGTCTCCCACAGTACACATGAAAATATAAACTGCTAAATACCTTTTCTCATCAGCAGTTAGAGCAGTCATGTGAATTCTATCACTGCCCAGCTGAGCACTATTTAAAGCTTGTAGGAGGAGATTTAATTTTGCTCTACGAGGATGCAGAACCCCTGACGTCTGCCTGGACAGTGCTGATTGGTCCTGTGCTGATCATAAGAACTCTCCCAACCAAGAAACAAAAAAAAACCCTCTTTAGCAATACACACCAAACTGAGCACGTGCAGCGGGACTCCACACATATGTCTTATCAGGAGATAAGAGGGGGACACTGGATGAAGGGGAGGATCAGAGAAGTCAGGATCAAACCATGTTTTTACACAATGCAGAGGATTAACCCCTATATTCCACAGTGAGTATAACAAGCATGCTTTACTGCATATACAGATTGATTTTACTGTTGTGGGTTTAGTAACACCTTAAATAGTCCTTCAGAGACATGAGCTTGAAAAACTGACATCACTAAGTAAATGAGTAAATTATAATTATGTATGTTCTCACAAGTTGAAAACGAAAACCTCTCCTGAGACTCGTGTATAAGTTGGTTAAGAAAATTGCATGGGGAACCTTAGCACATGGGTGACATTCATTTCATTACTAGTTAGCGGTAAAGAATCAAATGGAAAAACTTGCCCCTCTGTTAACTAAGCTGCTTCCGCTAATGGACTATTGCTAGGAGTGTAAAACTAGCAGGGAATACTAATGTATTGTGCAGTGTAATGGCATTCACTCTTGTGGTCAGAGCAGTGAATCACGCTCCTCTGTAATGCAGGGACAGAGCTGAGGTCTTGTCACCAGCACTGTGCTCTCTTCTCACAAAGGACTTCTGTCTTCAGGTTACCATTTAGGTAACCACTGGCACACAAGATTACCATTTTTAGGAAATAAGTTTTTTAAAACACTAGTATAGCAAATATAAATAAATCTATATGGGGTTGTATAGTTTTTATTTTTTTTCTGTTAGTGTCATTGTTTTTTCTTTTAGCCATTTTGTTTTTTATGCTTTTTGTAATTTTTGTTTAATTTTTTGTTTTGTTTTATGATCTAAAATAGGTAATTCAGAGAAGGACACATTAATGTTTAGGGACTAGTCCTATTTTTTGGAAAACATGGATATGGATAATGTTGAACAGAAATTATATGGTAATCGTTGGTCATTTTTTGTAGGTACATTGGTTTCCAGGCACCTGTGAATTGCCCAGCTCTGGTATTATTCTATACAACTCTTCTGCAGACCAGCTGAGGTCTTGTCACCAGCACTGTGCTCTCTTCTCACAAAGGACTTCTGTCTTCAGGTTACCATTTGGGTAACCACTGGCACAAGTCAAGGGGACATTACACTTTTATAGGAAATAAGTGCCAAGGCTTTCTTAAAGAGCCACTGAAACACTAGTAATGCAAATATAAATAAATCTATATGGAAAAATATCTATAGTTTTTTATTTTTTTTATAGCTTTAGGGGTTGTCATAGTTTTTTTCTGTTAGTGTAGCCATTTTGTCTGTTTTGATGCTTTTTGTAATGTTTGTAGTTTTTTTTTTTTTTTTTGTTTTATGATCTAAAATAGGTAATTCAGAGAAGGAAGACACTAATGTTTAGGGACTAGTCCTATTTTTTGGAAATCCGAAAACATGGATATGCATAAAGTTGAACAGAAATTATATGGCAATCGTTGGTCATTTTTTTGTAGGTACATTGGTTTCCAGGCACCTGTGAATTGCCCAGCTCTGGTATTATTCTATACAACTCTTCTGCAGACCAGCGGAAAGCTCAAATATGGGCAACAATGAAAACAACTGCACAGATGACTAAAATGGAAAAGAGGAGGCAGGAGATGCAAGATTAACTCCATAATTTGTCGGCTCAGCTGTGGTTGTTATTTTTACTGGATACTATGTTAGGTGATGCACATTATAAAATTGCATTTAGAAAGTTGAGAGAGATGTCAGGGAGTTTAAAACAGCAGGAGCAATCATTCTCAACCACGGTTCCTCTAAAGGTTGCCTGGCGGTTCCTAAAACTGCGGCTAACTATCTGTGCCAGCATAGTTCCAGGTCCTTAGCCACATGGCAGAAGACAAGCAGGACACTAATTATCTTTTAGCTGACTAAGGGTGGCATTCTCACCATTGAATTAACACGGGATTCTTACTGATCACCAATGTAAGGGCATTTTCCTAATGACCCCTGACGGGACCAATCTTAGCAGAGGTTCCCTAAGACCTGACAATTATTTTAAAGGATTCCCTTGGGGTAAAAAGGCTGCAAGGACTAGAGAAAGATAGAATCAGAGAAATTGAGCACTGGGCTAACACATCTTTGCAGCATAGAGGACAATAATAAATCCAATGACTGGCTACTCTGAAAATGTAAAAGATTTTACAAAGTGGCTATTCATTTTTTTTTAAAAATTGTGGTTTTGAAGTTGTTAGTTAAAAAAAAAAAAAGCTATGGTAAGCACTATAGGAAAACTGCTTTTGGCATTAGAAGTATTATGCAAATATACTTTGTTTCATATAAAACAAAGTAAAATAAATAATATAGAACAAATTAGAGAAAACAAAATGAACCCAGAGGACTTTTAAGGTACCCACACAGTAACATGTAACATATCAATTATTAATGTACACATGATTAACATATGAAAATAAAATGAATGTACATTCATGTATAGCATCAACTTTGAATTTAATTTATTTGGAGGGTGTGTTGCACAACCAGTACATGTAACCATATATTCATATAGGCAGTGTATTATATCCATCAAAAATACTCAATATGTAGAAAATGGCTATTATGTATCAAGACTGGGGGTGGGATTAGCTCTTAATGCTACATGTTTCTCAGACTCAAGTTCAGCTTTTACTGGAGAACATATGAGATATGAGACCTGAGACGATGCAACTGTTACCTCCAATGAGACACTGGACCATCATGTGTCCTGAGGGGTGCAGCCCTGGATTACATTGTTAAATTTAGTGAGCATGCTGGAATGCTAGAAGTCACTGTCATCAAAAAGTCTTTCAGGTGAGTGCCGATACTGACCAGGTGGAGCAACGAAGGGTAAGAGAAGGGCACCAGTGCTAATACATGGCCTACACCTAGATCAGTGTTCTAGAAATTAATGCACCTGTACTGACAGTGGAAACCATCCAATACTATGGAAACATCCATCTCCCACAGAAATGTTATAATAACAGAAGAAGCTAGGAGAACACTGAACCATTGTGTCCTGAGGGGTGCAGCCCTGGATTACATTGTTAAATTTAGTGAGCATTCTGGAATGCTAGAAGTCAATGTCATCAAAAAGTCTTCCAGGCGAGTGCCGATAATGACCAGGTGGAGCAACGAAGGGTAAGAGGGGCACCAGTGCTAATACATGGCCTACACCTAGATCAGTGTTCTAGAAGTGAATACACTTGTACTGACAGTGGAAACCATCCAAAACTATGGAAAAATCCATATCCCACAGAAATGTTATAATAACAGAAGAAACTAGGAGAACAGTGGATCGTTGTGTCCTGAGGGGTGCAGCCCTGGATTACATTGTTAAATTTAGTGAGCATTCTGGAATGCTATAAGTCAACGTCATCCAAAGGTCTTCCAGGTGAGTGCCGATAATGGCCAGGTGGAGCAACGAAGGGTAAAAGAGGGGCACCAGTGCTAATACATGGCCTACACCTAGATCAGTGTTCTAGAAGTGAATGCGCCTGTACTGACAGTGGAAACCATCCAATACTATGGAAACATCCATATCCCAGAGAAGTCACTGAATAAGGATACAGTCCAGGAAAGAAAATAAATACATCCATACATAGGACACACGATAGTCTAGTGTCCTCAGTGGTGGTAATAGTGGTGTTGTTCCTAGAATGAGCTGCTCACTAACTTTCATATCGTGTATATATAATCCGTTCTGTAGAAGCGGAACTTGATTCCGGGAAATGCGTAGAATTAAGAGCTAGTCCTACCCCCAGTCTTGTTACGTTCTAAATGTTATTTTCTTGATATTGAGTATTTTTGACAAATATAATACACTGCCTGTATGGTTGTATGTACTGGGATTTCAACACAACCTCCAGGTGAGTTTAATTCATTGTTGATGCTACATATGAATGTAGTAGAATTTTATTTTCGTATTGTACTCGTGTACATTCGTAAATTATACTTTTTTTTTAAAAAACAGATTGCTAGGTACCTTTTAAAAGACCGCCGGGTGCATTTTTTTTTCTCTAATCCCAGTCAGATCTATAATTTACCACTTTTTATAGTAATCTGGGAATCCTTTTGCTTAGCTGTTGTAATGCAGGAATGGTATTTCCAAACACACCCAGCTGCTTACAGTCTCATAAAGAAACCCTGACACTATCACATCTACCAGTACTTTTGGTAGATGTTTTAACCACTTCCAGACCGGACACTTTTTACCCCCTTCCTGACCAGGGCAATTTTCAGCTTTCAGCGCTATCACACTTTGAATGACAATTGCGCAGTCATGCAACACTGTACCCAAATGAATTTTTTACCCTTTTTTTGAGACAGATAAAGCTTTATTTTGGTGGTATTTATTCACCGCTGGGATTTTTATTTGTTTTGCTATGTAAATGAAAATGTCCAAAAAATGTTTAAAAAAGTGTTTTTTTAATGAAATTTTGCAAATAAATAATATTTCATCATAAATCTTTGCCAAAATTTATTCCGTTTATCTTTTTAGTAAAAAAAAAATCCAAATTAGTTTTATAACCAAAAATTATAATTTTTAAACATTTTTTTTTTACATTTTTATTTTATTTTATTTTTTTTAGAGTTTTATTTTTTTTTTTACATACGGTCACCCTAGCAGTACAGTGTCACCATGGTGACACACTACTACTTGTGGGGGGTGATGAAGATATATATATTTTTTTTTTTTACACTGATTGCTTTTACACCCATATAGGATGTAAAAGCAATCATTTCTCTTTCTCTGTGTGTGCATTCTTCCACTCATTGAGAAGTACTGAGTGAGCTGTGATTGGTCACAGCTTGTCACATGGTACAAGGCTGTTGTGAATAGCCTTGTACCATGTGACCTCTGTGATCATTCACAGATTTCACACGTAGTAAGCAATGATGTCACAAGTGCCATCTTGCTTACTTCTTTGCATGTGATCACTGATTGGCCAATCAGTGATCACATGATCGGGACCTCGTACAGAGGTCCCGTCCGACGATCGGTGTTTCACTGTGTCCGGAGGACACAGCGGGCACCAGATTGCGGTGCTGCGCGCTCTGAGGGAGCGCGCACAAGCAGGGTGCGGGGAGGCCATTTATAAACGGCCACCCGACCCTGCGCTGCCACCGTCTGGCCGTTTATATGCAACGGCCGGTCGGGAAGTGGTTAAAGTTGTTATGTATCTATTGGTGCATTCA